AAAAAAAAAAAAAAAAAAAAAAAAAAAAAAAAAAAAAAAAAAAAAAAAAAAAAAAAAAGAGGAAGAAGAAAAGAATAGAAGCAGCAATAAGCGAGCGGCAATTAATCCTCATCCCTCCCTCAACTCGTGTATACATATATATGTACATGTAAATTTCGCTCCCTCGACGCATGCGAGCGTACACCCCCATATATATATCGAGTTTATCCTCTTGGTGACACGTATCCTTACGCACACACAACGTTGTACTTATAATTTTTTTTTTTTTTTTTTTTTTTTTTTTTTTTCTTTCTTTACTCTATACATGGTTAATACCCACGCATATACTTCCCCGACCGATGGCCCCTGAATCAACAATCATCCCGCAATCCGTGCTCTCACGTATAGAACCAGCCAACCAACACACATATATTCCTGTAGGTATATAACGTTATAGACAATAAGCAACAAGTATGATATACCGTGTAATCATCATAATAACAACGTGTGTATATAATGTATATGTGTATTATTGCTTTAGTAGGAGTAAATGGAAAGGGATGACAGCCACCTAGGAGGGTCAGGGAGGCATCAGGGACGAGGCGAGAGGGTGGCCAAAGTGGCGCCGGCTACTACTACTACTACTATAAGACACACCACCCCCCCCCCCTGTGCCATCAGAGGCGCCGCGGCGCTGATACGGTGGGTGTATATACACATCTCTCCTTTTCCTCTCGTGTGTAAACCTATATACCCAACGTTAAGGACGTCAGTAGCAGAGCTCCGTCACGACGATGCTGTTGCCGCTGCGCTCAACAAGTGCGTGCTGTTGGTCGCGCCGCGCGCATCATGTACGCATAGTATATTATATTATATCACTCGATCCTCGCGGATATGAGCGTGTACCCGCTTGGTGATGGAGCTCGTGCCTCGGTGCCCGTGTAACACCGCAGAAGGAGGAGGAGGAGGAGGCAGGATACGTGGTAAACTTGGACCGCAGCTGGTGGTGCGTGGGATGATGATGGTTCAGTTGATAAGTACCTTTTGACCTTCCGATCGGTGATTTTTCTCCCGCGAGTGAGCGATTCGAATGATGAAATCGGCCGAGTTCGGTGTCATTGTCATCCCACCGGTTGTTTGAAGAGCCTCGAGGGAGAGTGCTCTACATATCGATCATCGGGAGCCAATAAGTGCAGGGGATCGCCGTATATACATCCTTGGCGATCGGAATTCAGCCGACATGCTCGATTATTCCTAGGGTCTCCGCTCATCGTACACCTACTCGGATCCATCCAACAAAGGGTGAGTTTGACAGATCGGTGTCTAAACGTCATAAATGATCCACTCTGGTGCAACAATAAAACTGAATAACGTAAGCAAATGTCAACAAGTACGAAGATTTTTTTTTGTTTTGCGCGGTGCAGTACAGCGCGCGCGATCGCCCCGTTACATATATATTATGATACATACCGATGCATCGTATAAATAGATGAAAGTTCAATCGTTTTTTCTCACTTGAAATATATGTATAAGTATAGCTGTTGTGTGTCATTTTCAATTTGATAACACGTTACCCCCTTCGCTTCTATACCATCGTATACACACTCGATCGCTTCGAATTTGTCAAACCATATTTATAATATATTATGTACTTTCATCCAAAGTGGCGCGCGATATTCCCTCATCCACACTTACCTTTTTATGTGTTTTTTACTCAATTTGACGTTTATTCATTTACGTATGAAAGCACAAACTCGTCGGGTGTCTCCTCCAACTTTCACGCGCATCACAGTTTGCAATCTACTGCGCCAACTTTTCTTATCACCTTAAAGTACACACGCGTCATTACATCCAACGTTCTCGCGGTAGTTTCAACAAATACCATAACTGATGTCTACCCTTTTAAAATTCTATCCAATACATGGATGCAAGTTCGATGTCTCATCGGTTTTTGGCCGCGCGATTCCACGCGAGTGGAAGGACAAAAAAAGGAGGGGGAGAAATTCATCGAAGCTTTTCGCCCTACGAATTATAAAGGTATACCAGTAAAAACTTAAGTACAATGTAAACAACGGGCTATTTTAAGCCATTTTATGGTCTAATATGTAACATGTATGGATACCGACGGGTATTAACGCTGATACCTGTAGCCCGGAATTTATAATGTTTGATAAAAAAAAAAAACAAAAAAACTGAGAATCGTGATGTTGAAATATGTATCGTTGGGTACAATGTTGTACAAAAACTATGAAAAACTCGGTCAATGAGAGAACGGCGTCGAGTTTTTCTTGTAAAACGTCAACCCTCCCTATACACGGTTCCGCGCTTCTAATCCAATCCACCGCGAATATCGTCCTTCTCCCAAGGCGTGTTTGCGTCAGCGGAGGAAAGATAAGAAAAAAACTCCTCAGCCAATACAATGCACCTTCTTGCGCAACGCCGCATCCCACGGACCCAGAACATGATTACATGTATAACCCCGTAATTGAATTCAGGGAGCGGGGGAAAAAAAAAAAGGAAAAAACCCTTGGAAGGATGATGGACAATTTCGAGGAGGGCAGCTCGAGGCGCAGTAGACAACGAAGCGGAAAGCCATCATCGGCGGTGGCCTCGGCAAAGGTCGGACGCAACACCGTCAACTCGAGGGAGCGCACCCTCCGGAGACTCGAGAGCAACGAGCGCGAACGGATGCGCATGCACGATCTCAACGACGCCTTTCAGGTTTTCCATTTTTTTTTTTTCTTTTTTCCACCACTATTTTATACACTCCCCCCATCTTGTACCACATTTATTTTTCCTTCCCATTTGGTTCGAAGAGATCGATGGTGGGTGGTTGCCTTTTTTTCGGCTTGCGAGGGGCAAAAAAACCCGCGCGGCACGAGGGATGGGAAAAGCGAGGTGGCAACAGCAGATAACGAGTACATCAATAAACGACCGCGTTAAGATTTTTATCGCGCAAATCACTCGGGCCGCCGTATAGTAGTAAAAACCCACGCTTTGACGCGACTAATCGATAAATCTTGTTTTTCCTTTCACCTGTTCCCTTTGAAGGGGACAAAATACAATGTTCCATCATCGATCTCTCGGGGGAGGTGTAGGTATAGTCAGTTTCATCGGTTGTTAAATCGATGTGCCGGTTGCAGTCGCTGCGCGAGGTGATACCGCACGTGTCGAGGGAGCGCAGGCTGTCGAAAATCGAGACCCTCACCCTGGCGAAGAATTACATAGTCGCCCTGACCGACGTCATCTGCAGGATGCGGCGACAGGATGGCGCTGAGACGGTCGCGGCCCACCAGCAGCAACAGCTCGTCTCGACCACCAAGGCCAGCGACGAAGACGACGAGGAGGAGCTTTTGTCGTCCGCGAGACGTAGTGGTGAGTCGGTGGAAGTGTCAAAAGTACTTTTTTGTTTTTGTTTTTCATCAACGATTTGTCGTAAATTATCCATTATCATCTGGAAAACAAGTTTTACCACAGTGGATACTCGATCGCGTTGCTCCCTCGTTGGGCTACATATTATGTTATAAGCTTTGTGATTTCCCATGGGTGCGTGCGCGTGGGTGTACCAGAGAATTGAATTTTCAATCTTTTTTTTTTTTTTTTTTTTTTTTTTTTTTTTTTTTTTTTTTTTTTTTTTTTTTTTTT